TATTTCATCATCCTAGGTTGGAGGCCATGGCTATTAGTTTGGAGACCATCGCCATAGTATACTTCTTCATCTGTTTACTTCATCTTGGATGTCTCAAGCCTAACGACACCATCGTTGAAATTACTTGGGACTTCGATGGATCTTCTCATCGACGGTTCGACCATTTGCGTGCCGCTCGTCAGGTGGCGCTGGTCCCGGTCCGCGCGGTCCGGGCAGTGGCGGCTTCGGTGGCTTCGGTGGCTTCGGTCAAAGCAAGGCGCGGGTCAAAGCAGCCGTTGAAACTAGGAACAAGAAGCTATTAGGAGCAAAGGGCATCGCTACTAGGAGCAAAGAAGCTACGTTCGGGACTCCTGGCCTTACTAGTAGTAACAAGAAGCTATTAGGTTGGAGGCCATGGCTATTAGAGTTGGAGGCCATCGCTAGTAGGTTCCTTTTGCTGTTAACTCTTATGTGACATAGCATGAGATCGTTATAAAGGTTTCTAAATTAGCAGATCTGATAGCAGCGAAATGGTTTGGACCCCAAGTTATATTGTGTTGGTTTAGAGTGTGCCCTCTCAAAGAAAACTCCTTCAGACTGCTGTTGCATGGAGACTCGCCACGAGGAACCAAAGCCCAAGCAGGGCGGTCCTCTATTCCTCGACACGAAAGTGCAGGACTGTGGAACAAGCATTAATTATGTTGAAAGTTTTCATGGTAGAGATGCTCGAACAAGAAGGATCTAAAGAAGAAGCAAACATGAATGAAGAAATAAAGAACTGAATCAAGTCTTACCTTATGTTTTTTCTTTTACCATCCTGGAGATTCAAACTACCAAGAATTCTTAGTAGTTTTGGTTTTCTAGTCAATTTTAGTCGTTTTGGTCGTTTTGATGAGTTCTTAGTCCAGGGCTGTTGTTTGGTGTTCACTTCAAAGTCCACCCGTCCCCCTGTCCCATGTTGAGACTTTTACTTTTTTCCAAGAGTCTTCTCAAACTGACGGCTGTACACCCCCATGACTTTGCGAATGGTGGTCATAGAGGCGACTGTACTGTGACAGCTTCTTGCAATTCGGGAAACCCTACCTATGTAGTCTTCATCTGACCAAGTGCAAGTCGCCAATGGCGACATGCCCTCTACACCACGGGAACACGCCAAAGTATTTGTGAGCTCCCAAAAAAAAATGCAATTTAGGTCGAAGCTTAAAAAGCTTTTGCCCTTTGTCATACGTCAATGAGGCCATGTGGGCATAGGCTTCCTTAGAAGTTGGCAGGTTGCTTGTTGAAAAGTGCTGCATAAACTTCAAATGCAAACAAGATCTCATCCAGATCGATGTTAAATTTGAGAAAGCTTCGCAAAAAGAGTTTCCAGCGATGCTTGCTTTTGCTGTGTCACAGGCAGAAATCCATAGACCACTTCGATAGATTAGATCAAAAAAACACTTTGGCCTGCTTCATAGCATACTGTGCCACTTCCAAAAGTTCGCTGTCACATTGAACCTGCCAAGCGTGGGCCAACGGTGCTTGACCTAACCCAACTCAAAGCCTCCAAAGAAGTAGATGTAAGGTAATTACAAATTGAAGGGGTGTTGAAATGCTAAATCTTGCACCCTTGCACTTGACTACCATAGCCTCCTGTGTCAGAACATGATGCAGCCATGCTGAAACTACAGCAGTGTCGAAGCCCTTCCCAGCCAAACTTGTCGGAAATGAATTTGCCCTCAGTCTTGGGACAACACGGTAACATGGAAAGCGTACATACAGCAGGGTTGCACTATATATGTGAGCTCACACACCTGTGCTCTTTTTGGTGTCTATTTTGGGTTATAGTTATGATACAGCGGACCAACAAAGATGCGTGCCGTGCAGGGCAACCAAAATGATTGGCATATGGTGGAATGTGACACTGTTTGCTTAGGCAGCATACCAAGGACCATGTATTAAGTATTTCACCGGACATGTATACAAGTATCCTACAGTACCCAAAAATGGTCTCAACTGCTATTGGTGTACATCCAAGATTCTTTGTCATCCCCAGGCTTTTCCGTGTCCAAACATCACAGGTCGTGAACTTTTTGTTTAATGTGCACCATTGCCTGAATGCGTTGTATGCTGCCTCAAGTCTCGCCGGAAAGGCACACCCAGATCCAAACTTCTGTTCATTGCACAACGCAACTATGATGGATGCGCAACAATCCACCCCAAAGCCAATGTGGTAGGTATGTACCATATCAGCGTGAATCCTCAAAGGCGAGTCCCCTCCTGGAACTTCAAAAAAGGGATGGCGACTCTTGAAAGGCCATGGCCCTGGACGTGATGCTGATCTCCAAGGTGCACCAGGATGAAAATTGTGCCATTCCTGCTGCCATGCAATTCCAAACTCAAGGCCGCAAGACACTGTATCATGAAACTCAAGTAAGCAGAACCTGAAAACAAAAAGCAGTCCTCTCCGTGGCAATAATGACAAATCCGCTTGGACTGGAAGCCCGTTTTGAGTAAGGCTGCCTAGTGATCAATACTGTTGCTTGATCAGCAAAAGGTGTTTATCGGTGTGTCGTTTCCCACCACTCAGCACAGACTACATCTCACCTGAAAGCTTTCAGCACCCCACCACTTATGCCAAGCCACCTTCCTGATATATGGCCAATCTCCTTTCATTCCAATGTATATGAACTTGAGCCGGACTCCACACACCTCCATGGCTGAATCTCATAGACTAGCACAACAAGCGTTTTCCAACTATAGGAAAAAAAATGATGGCCTCGATGCCATTTCTATGAAGAGCTGCCATTTGAGTAGCCCAATGTGTATTCAAATCCAGCAAAGTTTGCTCTCCGTTGAACAAGCGGCTCGAGATGCATGTGAAAAGCAGTCTCGAACAAAATGAATGCCTGAGCTTTTCTAAATTATGGCAACTTCATCCCTTGCCACACTCCACAAAACAAACATGCAGAAATGAGATCCGGATCCCCTCTCCACAAAACAAACAGAAATGATCCATAGACTCGCTGAGGAACCCTGAAACATTTGTGTAGCCAACACCTTTGTATGAGATCGCTGTTTGCCAAGCCTCTACCATCAATGGTTGATGGCCGAGGCCGCGACCCTCATCGCCGTGGATGAAGTAAGGTATCGCAAACTCAAGGTTGGTGCCATCTGTAAACACACTATGGGAGCCATCAAAGGCCCGATACTTCTGCCAAAAAAAGGCGGAATTGCTCTCGCCATTTGCTTTCCTCTTCAACCTTGAACCCTCCAAGAAGAAATTCAGGGTATCGCTCCATGAGGAGTGTTATCCAACTTCGCATGGACAAACACGGCCAAAACACCTGTTCAATCCGTTTTCGTGGCTTGCGAAGCTGAACGGTAGTCTTCACAAGTTCAATTTCCACCTGAAGTGACTCCCCGGATTTGTAAATGACAGAAAACAGGTTTCGCGCCACGTTAGTCCTGCTTCGTTTGGCAGAAGCGATCTTGCACAAAAGGCTTCCAGCTCCTGCGCAGTAGCACGCACGCAAACAGCTTTTTTTCTGGACACATAGAGAGATGCAAATCGATATGATAATATATATATATATATATCGATCAAGAGAAGATATATTTAGAAGCATAGCTTTGCAAGTATATACTCTTTGCAGAAAGCTTTTACTTGTATGGCATGGAAACAAATAACCTCAAACAAGAGGTCTGAGAACAGTGGCTTGAAACCAATCGTGCTGCACATAAACAAAACGGCAAACGCCTCAGAGGGCCCCCACTCAACTAATTGGCATCGATCCATGTAACCACATGATTTGATGTCACGCCAAGCTTCTCACGGAACGAGAGCTGCAGGCAATTTCAGCAATGCGAGCTGTACGAAGAGCACTCTCTGCCTAGCACGTGCTTTTTGCCCATATTACTAAACAATGTCGAGAATACATCCAAGCTACTCCAGTAAAAAAGTTCTCTAGCAGCTCTTTGGCGTGCTCCGTGTCGCGATTGAACTGGTCCTCCTCATCATCAAATCCTGCTCAAAAGGATAGAAGACTAGAGGCATCAAACATCAACTCTTGAACAAAAGTATTGTCAACCGAATGGAGCCTCCCACTAGATCACCACTTGCAAATCTGGCACTTTGACCTGGCAACCAATTACTTAAACCAACCACGAATCAATACATCTCGATCAATCATTGTCATGGATCCAATAATACCGCGCGCGTGCGAAGGCAAAAGCACATTTTCCAAAATTGATCGATCGATCGATCGACCTATGTAGCAGGTCTCAGCTCTATCCATCGTCAAAATTGGACCATCAGAATCAACGGTCAAAGGACAGGCTAGCGCTTTCGCTTGTTAGATGACTTTGCCTTGGCCTTGGCTGCCTTGGCTTTCCCCTTCGGTTTGGAAGAGGCCGCTTCAGCAGGTTCTTCAGTACTATCAGCCTTCAGAGCAGCTCTCCCCTTCGCCTTGCGCTTAGGGGAAGCCTTTGCCTTCACTGGTTTGCACGCCCTAGCAAGAAAATGCATCGATATCAAACCACCTCACACAAATGGTTTCAGATTGAAAGCTTGAGACTCAAGCCTTGCACGAGTCAGCACATTGTTGAGGGAGACATCGCATTTGGTGCAGTCAACAAAGAGCCTACGAAGCTCTCCATTTTTTCTCCTCCTAGCAACGCAATCTCAAACAACATCAGGGATCAACAATTGATGAAAAGCGAACCGATTAGATCTGCAGCCGGCAAAAACAGCACATTTAGTTAACATGTATTGTTGCCAAAATTCGGATGGTGTCTCGATCGAGCAATTGTCTTGCTGAAAAGTGAGCAGCTGGTTTAAGTTCGACTCATATTGCGAACGCTTGTCAGTCAGCTGCTTGACCAACCTGCAGCTGGTCTAAAATTCACCCATGGACTACATTGACTTGAAATTGAATCCTGTAGCACTGTGCAAGCATCTTCGCAGGCCCATTAATTCCAAGGCACTCATCGGAACGCCCGGACTTGAATTTCTCAAGACGCTCCTCCCGCATCACTGGTAACTAAACAAACTTGTACTCTGGTCTTCTGGAACTTTGTTGATGAAACAAAGCTGATCTTTTGGAACTCTGAAGTTGTCCGTGCCCAGCCTTTTGTTCGTCTAGCTTGTCCAATTTCTTGTACATGCACTCCACGAACTGCACCAGGTAGCCTGGGAGAATGGAAGGTCAACAATTGTGGTTGACATATACTATATTTTTGTATCTTATATATATATATATATGAATAATGTAAGTGTCCAAACTCCACATGGTGGCATATCAAGCTCAGAAACTGAAAGGGTCTGCATGTTGCTGGACCAAAGGCAAAGCTGGAACTTTGGCGGAGGAAGCACTATGGGCAGCAAGGCTAGCCGCAGCTGATGCCTGTCTGCCTCCCCGCCTCAGCAAATCAGCTAGTAAGCCCATGATTTCCTGTATGGCCACAGGGGGATCTTCAAACCTACCCAGTGCCACTAGTGCAGTAAAAGTGCAAGGTGATTCCATCTGCGGAAATCGAGTCATTTAGCAAAGCCCCATCTGGATCTTCAACTTCGAAGCTCCCACTTCCTTGAATCTCATGAGAGTGGGTCGCGTCAAAAGAAAAAGTTTCACTTGTTGGAATCCGCCATTCTTCTTTCCCGTGCACTTCGTTCCGGCGAACCAGATTGCGAGCTTGTGCCCAAAGCTTGCTGTTGGCAATCATCTCCCTTAGCTTTGGGAAAGATAATAGAGGGTACCGTGAGCCATAGGTAACATTACAACAAAATTGTGTTTGATAAGCTGAAACAAACACCTTAGGGCATCACTCATCCCAGAACAGAGGTGCTTGAGCCAAACTGATCTCATTGTGCCAGCCACCTGCCAACCTCTCGCTCTCTACCTTCTTAGTGATCTCTCGGACCCTCATTTCCATCGCCCCAAAGGTGCCCTCCTTTCGCAGGATCTCAGCAAGTTTGGTACCTTAGATATGTTTCTTTCTGTTGTCGGGACGGTCAGGACATATCAGGACAGGTTGAGAATATAAATGCAACTGGACAACGTTTTGTTGGATCCTTAAACATCTCGACCACCTCCTTGCTTGCCGTGACTTTGCCATACTTGTTTGGCTGAACGTACCTGCGAAGCCTCACGAGGACTAGCAATGTGTTCCTTGAGAATGGTGCATATAGTCAAATGGTTTGAGAAGCCCAGTAATTACATCAAGAAACTTCCAATATAGGCCATCTGCATACATCTTGTCAGGATCTGATGCTTTTGGCTGGGGCGGGGGAGGAGGAGGCATAGCAAGGTTTGGGTCCAAAAACGTTGGGGGTGCCGGGCTTGCTCCTTTCGGGGGAGTGGGTGCTGCGCTGGGGCTGGCTTGCTTTGGCGAAGGCTCACAGGACTTGGGAGGACTAGGAAGGGATCCAAAGCTGAGACTCCTTGGCTGAGCATCTGGCCATTCTTCTCGAGATTCCTGATCAATGTGCGTGCCTGAACTAACAGTCAGAGCTTTGGAAGCCCCATAGAGAAAGGTGCTTGAACCCTGGCCCTGGTTCTTGTTTTGATACTGTGCCCGCTGAGAAGAAGCATCTGGGGTTGCGGGGGGCGGTATACCAGGAGCAAAAACGATTCCTTCGGCTTTGGCAGCTGGAAAAAGGTCACCTCACAGGAACACAAACTAGATCAAAATTAATGCATGCATGCAGAACACACAAGCAAAAAACATGCGTGCTGCACACATTGTATAGACAAGAGACGGGCCCCCTCTCTTGGTTCTCCCCCACTTTCGAACCCCAACTCCTGTTGGAGTTTCTTGACAGCTATCGAAGCAGCCTTAGGATCAGCTAGTGAGGGAATCCAAACAGTTCGACTTGAACCCTGTAATGCCATCAAGAAACCTCAATTTGTTTATCAATGTCTAACTCCTCACCTGGCCCACTGGTTTGTTGGGCCGCCACAACGAGTAAACCTTCATCCAGGGTTTTGCAGGATTCTTTTGAACCATGCACGGACATGTTTGGGATGTTTGCCACCTCAAATAATCGAGCCGAGCTGGCCACATAGACCTACAGTACTGTCGATTACAGTCTATATGCACAGCCAATGCTAAGTATGGCAGGATCATACACTCTTCACTGGAAGCTTTTCCAGTCGATCATGCAGCATCACATGAATTGTCACCGCTGCTCACTGGATGATGGCCCTTTGGAACCTCTACAGAGAAAACAGTCGTTTTGCAAAACATAGAAACTACCAACTCTACCAGTTTTCAGGATTTGCGGGCGTTTGCGCGGTTTTGCGGGCGTTTTGCGCGTTTTTGCGGGCGTTTTGCGGGTAATTTTGGTCGTTTTTTTCTGCTTGTTGAACGCGAAGTGTGTTTACTTTTTTTTTGATAAAAATTGGTCGGGATGATCTTGGGCCCTCATCTAAGTGAGAAAAAGCAGCAAACAGAGACAGACCCTCAGCTTGGAACTACTCACTCACAGATTCCAAAAGGATCAGGATCATTCACCTTAATTGGCCACAATGTGCACACCTGTACGACATATGCACTCTACATCCAGCGAAACGACCTGTAAGCACACATAGCCTCAGCTAATTTAGAGGAGTCACAGCGCGAAGCTCGGAAGTGAAGTTTGTTATTGTTTCACGCCATTCTGGTGGGACACACAGCTTCTTATTTTTCAGCAAATAGAAGTAGACCGAGGCAAGATCCGAGTCAAAGGCACTGAGGTCATACTTCTGTCGCAAACACGGTTCTGGTGACATGCTAGGGTCCGACTCTGTCCAGAAGTTCCTGAGATGAAGACCAAACCTTCGTGGGTATTGCCTGAATACACCAGAAATGGTTGATTGATTGGATCCAGAAACCTTTTGCATGGCTTGTTAAGGACAGCACTGAGTTTTCTTAAGACTGGAAGTTCCTGTAAAGCCACGAGTTCCATCTTTCTTCTGATAGGTCCCTCAGAATGAAAGGACAAAAACAACAAAACAGACAATAGAATCGGTTCATGTGTTTGTGAACCGCCAACAAGTTGCGGGTTGTCTGAAGTGTGGTCTCCTCATCTTTGACCTTTTTAGGCAACCTGCCCATGTCCTAGGATGTCCCAAGCAGATCCTTTAGTACCCACCTAAAAGCAAGCAAACACACTCTTTGGCTAAGGGGCTTCGCCTTGGCCAAGGAAGAACGATTTGTCCAGACCACTGTAGGCTTCATGGACCCCCCCTCCAAAATGCAACATATGGAAATGCTGGCGAAAAACCTGAAAGCGAGGTTGAATGAAAAAGAGTTTAAAAACATCATGTGAAACGGCTTTCCACAGGTTGAATTCTTTGTTTGTTTCCTTTGCTGCAGCAAAAACACGATTGCCACCCGATTGCACAGCCAAGCAAATCGAGGATGGTTAGGGAACGTGTCCCCGGATCCGAGCGGCTGCTCAACAAGAAAGACTGCATGGGTCGCGAGGCTGATCATCAGGACTACCGTCAACCTGCAACAATTCTCTATATATAGTATATTTAAGGGCTGCCGCCCCTGCCGCCGACCCCGGGACTCAACTGCAGCTTGCACTCGCCAAAAAGCTATGGTTCAGGTGACTACGACAGAAATTCCGAGACCGGTTCAGGGGCCCCTGCAGAATCCCTGTACCAGCATGTATAGTTCTTTGCGCATTGGTGCTACCCAGTTGGATCCTCATCCAATGGGTTTTAGTGGGTCTACATGCCACACTGTAGATCTTAGCGGCAGATCAAAATAGAGTTTTCAACAAAAGGGACTGAAACAGAAGCAAGTGTTTCAAGCGAGTCGCTGAATGCATCCGCTTCTGC